TTGGTATGTGTACATCCATTTCAGATTACTTCGATACTGTCATCAATCACAAGCATTATAAGTAAAGATAAATGATGCCTAGCAGTTGAATCCAGGATGCGCGTATCGTCCTATCCAGGGCTCCTAAGCTGGATGTACTCGCATCTCAGAGTTGATGGTCACTCCGAGACTCAAACCTAGAACCGTTCACTTTAAACGCTATCGCATTATCTAGTTAGCTACTATGTTTTAATAGCCACTAACGTTTGCAATGAGATGAAGTTAAATTCATTTAATATTGTTTGTTCAAATCTTTCAATTGGTGTTTAAGACTGCAAATGATCAGTACCGGAGTGAATATCAACTCTGAGATACGTCCTGCTAACGAGTCTCAAATAAGACGAAACGTGAATCCTGGATTCCACTGCTAGTCATCATCCATCTTTGCCTATAATATTTGTAAAACCTGTTAAGATGTGAAGTACTTCTGTAATTTTCATTTATTTCCACATCAGATTAAGAGAATAGTTATTTACATATATATATTTTGGGTATACCAGTAACATGTAAAACTAATATAATAAAATAAATATTTGTCTAATTCCTCTACGATTACTTAAATAAATACTTGTTAAGTTATACTTTCATTTCAAAAATTGAATAGTTTGGAGGTAATATATGTTCATTCTACTAGTTATCACTTTCAAAACATTAACACCATGGGATGCCGGCTCAGTGGTCCAGTACGTTAAACGTTCGCGCGCGATACTGAAGGCCCTGGATTCGAATCCCGTGGGCGAGACCGTGGATATGCGCTGCTGTAGAGTCCCACAATAGTTTGAGACAGCCATCCAGTGCTTCCAGGTTTTCAATGGTGGACTAACATCAACATCATGATCTCAATCAAAGACTTCCAATACAATTGTATACATCGATTTTGTAAACAGATTCTTAATATTATAGAACACTATAGTTTCAAATCTATTCATTAAATATCATTCTTTCATTTGATTTTTATCATTCAAATTTCAGTAAACATAAATACATAGTTTATCACTGATTCCTTAAATAAAAACAATTTGTTGTAAGATGACCTTATGTTGAGAAAAAATAACATGATTTTTCTGAATATATATATATATATATACTATTTTTCACAACGATTCTTCTATTCCTAAAATAGGGATATTGAGTTCATATAATATAATCTCCATAGTCCTTGAGAATATCAAATGATTAAAATGACCATAACTGAATAATACATTTGAAAAAAAAACTAGTTCATTGAATACATTAAGTTATTTAGCAGGATGGAAATAAGTTTCTAATCCGTTTACAGGTCCATAGAAAAATAGTGAAAAAAACTATCATGTAACTTTCTTATATTACACAATACTATTGAACTAAATATGATGAAAAAAAAAGAAACGTTATCACCAAATTAGACAACGAAAACTAGATATTAATTTGCTTAAGTAGGTATCATTACCAAAGTTTGACTTGATAATTTCAAATAAATTGATCGTCGGGTGATTGTCATAAATAAGAATAATATATTTGTAATCTCCCAATAAGTAGAAAAATAAGATTTCCTTATGTTTCGTGACTTAGTGTAATTCACTTCTTCAGAGAATAAATAACCTGATCAAAATTAATCCAAGTTAAGACGTATTCAGATCTTTTTTTGATTGATCGCACATAATATTGTTGTGTTGTACCTTTATACTATTTAAATTTGGATTAATTTTGATCAGGTTGTTTATTCTCTGAAGAAGTGGCTTATACTGAGTCACGAAACTTCAAATTATCTTATTTCTCTTTTCATCGGATAATCCAAATATTTTACGTTTTATCTATAATTTGCTTAAGGTTCAAAATTTTAGCCTGAAATAACATTTTTACATTTAATTTTCATATTCCATAAATATCCCTTCAGTAGACAAAGTCTTTTCAGCTAAATGAATGATTTCTTAAGAAAAGAATTTACATTTATAATATAACCAAATCAGAAAATACCATATACCTGTGAAATGCTTTTCATATTCCGAACAAAGTTAAGTATTATTAAGAACGTAATTAATTTCAGTACCTGACTTTCATTTAATATTTATCAATTGGGATTTCCAGTATACAAATTATAGTTCATGGCATCAAAGTCAGTATTGTTTTGTGACAGCGTTGTACCTTTTTATTATTTGAAAGGTGCTAAATGAACGTAATATAGTTATTTATTACTAACTAGTAAGGTATATTTGCAGTTTAAACAAATATCACTACAGTGGAACTTTTTGTTTGAAGTAGTAGATCTCTGTTGAGGATGATCAATTTCTTAAGTTTCAGTTTTTGGTTCCCACCATATTCTAACTAGTCTGGCTTCAGTAACGTTTAAAACTACAACTTATATAAAACAAAGGTTTTTACAGAGAAAAGAAACAATAGAAATAGTCATGTAGTTATTCCGGTTTCTGTTTGTCTTTTATGAATGTAAATAATTTTAGATATAATAAAATATCGCTATGAACGTAATTCGAGTCAAATACTAGAATGCAAATAAACATATTTACTAAAAGTATTTGAAACATACTGTAAGCTTGTTATTAGTTTGTGCCATTAATTCTATAAGTTAACAACTTTAGACTGGAACACATTTCTTAACTAGACATTTTCTTCTTAATACATGATAAGCCAACATAAGTAACAATAAAATAAACGACATTTTGACTATCCGACCATAAATTATCTTGGATGTTAACCACGTGTTTCTGATGTACCGGGGACCCATGATCTGAATTTTATTTGAACGAACAAATTAATGTGCAATAAACATAAATCTTATAGTTTATTCTGTATACTACAACTAGACTAACTCTGAGCGATGGCGGTAATAAAATGACAAATATAAATTGATTTGAATGAATTTTGATATATCTATTTCATACACTCTTTACTCTAATTAAGCCAAAAGAAAAACGAAGTGGAGAACAGAAGCGTGCCGACTTCATTTAATAGAGCATAGCCTACTATTTACAGTCGGAAAGATAAGCTAGACATAAAGTGAATAGAAAATGTGATATACACATACTATCATATAGAAACAAAGTTAAAGTGGGATAACTAACAAGGTGAAAATAAGTGTAAATACTGACTCAAAAAGAATGGATTTATTGTTCTGTCCAAAAGCTGAAATAATTCATGTAGGCGTGACATGGTGCTAGAATTTATGATGAGATAACGTTTTTTATCGTGAAAACAATAGTGTCATAGCCTCACGTACATATCAATCAAGATTTTGTACTTAAACACGAGATATTTTTGCTTTAATGATATTGTGTAGGATGTTAGAAATAAATTGACATAACTATAAATTATATATATGTAATTGTTGTTCTCCTAAGAATATCGCCGGTACATCATAAACAGATCTTAATTACTGGACCAACGTATTTTCCTAAACAAAAAGATGTATCATTAAAGACAGCTTTAGTTCATACAAATGTAATGTCACATACATTTTGATTTCACATATATTTAAAACAGTAAATTAAAGTATTGTTTATAAATGGTACAGATATTTTTCGAAATTTTCTCCTAACAAACCTAATTTACGTGTACTAGATACACCTGAATTTCAAGAAGTTCAAAGTCGAATGCTTAATAGTGACTAGTTTTAAAATACAGTTCCTTTTGTTTAAATGAGAAGTTGTGATCGATGCAAATGACCCGGGTTTGTTGTAAATAAGATACCCACCGAATACAATCGAAGATGATTGTACAGTATCTTGGATTGGTCGGAGTTAGCTTTGTACACTACTGATTTTTGGCTGGATAATTCGGTGGTTCAAGTCCTAGATTCAACTTCCCACAAGTAGGTCGACGATATCCACTGTTAACGAGTCCGATAATAAGATGAAACGAACAGTCACTTCTCAACGGTTTGGAATGACTAATCACTTCGGATCGGTTTACAATATCAATAACAGTACAAAATCATTGTTATTTGCTGTTTCAGCATTAGCCGAATAAGAAAATCTATTACTTTGAGCTTAATGGATCGCAATACGGTAACCACATTTAGTTTGGAAAGCAATATAATTCAACAAAATATTCACTTACAGCAACCTTGTCACTCCAGCATTTGATCGAATGGAGATACAAGTGTGTTAGTTTTACGATCAATAGAAAGACCATTTTCATCAAGCTAACTGACGTATTTCTCCAAGTAATCTAGACGAACATTTTTGTGTATCGATAATAACCAAACACTTGTAATCACAGTGTAAGTAGATTCATTTATCATACATAGTTTACCATAAACTGAATCAATCTTACTGATGCTGCTGAAAATTAAACATCCGACAAAGGAAATGAAAGTCACCAACATTTGTGATATTCACGGTATGGTTCTGACGATGATGAACAATAGACACATGGATACGGTCTGTTTTCCAAATCACATGGTAATCAGTTAAATTTATTAAGACATACAAGTTTCCTTTACATATATATTGTCTTTCGATAGCTACACAGTACGATGCTTAATACTACAAAAATATAAGATGACGTTCCTTTTATTAGGTTAGCAAAACAGAACACATTTTCTCATGTGATATAGGCACAACAATTCGTGTAACCTAATGAAAAAATGAAGGCAGATTGATCAAGATACGCATTTTATGAACGTGACTGACTAATTCCATACTTAGATATTTGAAAACAAGAGAGAAATGCGTAATTTTCCAAATAACTTCACACCTGTTGGAAACAATGGTGTTCATCTGATCTTGGTGAATGTTTTGAACTTTGAAGTGAGATGTGTTGAGTATATATGTGAATGCGGACGTTAATATTCAGATAAAAGTACCCCCAGTTGATAAGTCTTATACAGAATGAATTGTGTCTCCTAGGTTTCTTTGATATCTTTAATAAAAATATTAAAAAATACATTTTTAATAAAATAATAAACATTAAAAAGCAAGAAACAGATTATGACATTTTCTTTCTAGCAGAAATACAATACTTACTTCTAAACGTGATAAAATGAGTGTAGTCGAAGATTCATCTACAAAATAAAGAGAAAGACAAATGCCGATTATTAATTTTGTTTATATCTATAGAAACAACGCTTAAGCCTAATTTATCACTAACTTGATGTAAAAGATCTGTTTCTCAATAAAGCGAAAAGTAAACAAATAATATATGTTTTTGGTTTAGATCATGAATTCATTGATGTTAGACCACCGTTGGAAACCTGGAAGCACTGGACGGCCGTTTCGTCCTAGTATGGGACTCCTCAGCAGTGCGCATCCACGATCCCGCATCCCGCGGGATGCGTAGTATGTTATTACTAAACTATTGTATATAGTGCTAAAATATGATTGCCGGTTGTAATAAAACTGCTTCATTTTGAAAAAAACCCAGAATATACTGTCATCTCAGTTTGAAAAGATAACGATTAATAATTGTGCTTTTATTATTAAAAAGTATGGATGAGATCTCTTTGTACTTAAACATACTAATGATTATGTAATTGATTATTATTAAGAATAAATCTAAATCAGAATAAAAACATACTCTATTATGATGGTGGTTGGAGGTAGTTAACAGGAAACCTTAACCTAGGTTTCGCGCTACTTGGTACTCGTCAGCAAGGTTTACCTGTATTCTTGATGGATTTGATCCCGTGTCACCCAGCTTCACAATGAGAGACGTTACCACTGAGCTATCCATGCCGCAACTGAACTCCTGTGGGATTGAGACGTATTTACGATTGACTAATCACTGAGTGCTGATTAATGTCACGTATGTCAGGTTTTTTTAGTGCAGATCGACTACCTCCAACCACAATCTTATCACAACATGGTGCACTCAATGTCGACTCACCTAGAGTAGTGGCCATATTTCAACTTGAACATGACATACATGTCATTGATCACCACCCAGTGACTAATCAATTGTAAAGTTATACTCTATTAATTTTATGCCATCACTTTGAGTGTTAAATAAAACAAAATTGGTAAAGGTTTTTGAATGTACACTCGAAAATATAATTGTTTACAATCTCCTATTCTGATTTATTCTGATGATGAATAATGAATCAAAAATAGGGTTCTATTGATGTTGTAATTATTTATGAGATATTTTTCACATATGACTATATCAGTCGATTTCACGATGATGTGTTAATTTGTTGTGTACTTCCTGATGAAGTTGTTGGGAAGTAATATAAGTTTTTAAGTTATTATGTTTTTAAAATTGAAATCTGATCTAATTTCATTTATATCAGTAACCTCAACTCAAGTGAATTTTGAATTAAACCTTATCTTATATTCATAACTAATGTAATTGTCGCTTCTAACTGAGTAGAAATTTTTCGGTGTATATTCTAGCGTTTAACTGATTTTTATGAAGTGTTATTGTGAAAACTATATTTTAATATATTCAAAATAATGAGAGGGGGGTTTTGTGGATATTACAGTAATTTTAATAATTGAATTCATGAGTTAATAAAAGCTAGACCACCATGCAAAACCTGGAAGCAAGGGACGGCCGTTTCGTCGTACTATGAGACTCCTCAGCAGTGCGCATTCACGATCCTGCACGCGGGTCTGGAAACCAAAACCTTCCATCTGCTTGCAAACGCTTAACCTCCTTACCATGGAGCTCTCATCCAACGGTATTGATGTCTAACTTCAACCAACCCATGATATTGCACGATCGTCCATCATTATCTTCAGTGATTAACTGTCTCACATGTCATGATGTATAAACAAAAGACATTGTATTCAATAGATTCGTATCATTTACCTTAATTCTACTAAAGTGTATTTATTCTAAATAAAACTATTATTTCGAACCAATAATTCAAACTTGTAATCGTAGAACGTTTTTGAAAATGTATTTCAGATATTAAACTTTGTTTATCAATCTTTATTTAATTTCAACTAAATAAGTTGTCAAGTTATCTAATTTGGTGTTTTTCTTCTATGCTCCTCAATAATTTGTTTTTTTCTAATTTATTGATTCAATTTACACTTAACTGTGTTCTTTTCGGTCAGTGTATTTAATTAAGTGGTCAACAATATTTTCTACTTCATTGTTTTTCTCTCAACTTCAATCCACATTCAGATATATACAAATTGTGAAGTTTAAATGAAATACTTATGTTTGAACTCACAAATAATTCAGTTGTAAAATAAATAATAGATATTGTTCATATTTGTTTTCGGATTGAATATTACATAATCATTTATAACATAATTATTGTATTGACTTTCTATTCTAAATAAACTAGCTATTACTACGTATTCAACAGTTTTACAAAATTTACATATAAAATTGTGGTGTGGGTTACTTATATCCATATAAGTAGTATATAACGGTGGTCAGGCAAAGAATGTATTTCAGCAGAAGGTCGATAAGGAAAGGACGGAAACGGAACGCAATTGGTATGAAAAGGCATGAAAAATGAAACCTGAGACAATTGACTGATATTTGCAAAAGGAACAGAGAAGTGTGAGACGATGAATTGATATTTTGCGACTTAACATGTTTACTATATGATTCCCAGATTTTATTGAGATACTCTGTAATATCGTCTCAAATACATTGTCTCCACTCGTGTTCTTGCTCACTACAATGACTTAGATATTTCGTAAAGTGAAGAATTGGTTTATGTAAGTGTTAAAGTATATAATTTGCTACTCAACACACCGTGAATTCATTTATGTAACATCTTAAACTTCAAGCATTTTCAAATAAGTACAATCCGTTGTTTATGATTAAATAGTTTTCAGTGTATTTAGGAATTGAAATGAATTACTGTACCTAATACAAATCAAGAAGAATATACTTCGAATACAGAAAAAGGAAGATAAGAGTTTACTTTCGTAATCACTATAGAATCAATTGTTTGTTTTCGTAAATCAGTTAGGCGTTTTCCAGCTTTTAAATATTATCTATTTTTGGAATTATCAAATCAGTGATTATTTTGTAAACTTAAACTGTGAGAAAATTTGGTGAATTATAGAAAAGAAAACATCAGAGTAAGACTTTCTTTAGAAGAAAAAAATAACTTATTGAGATAATTAATTGAGCGGTTTTTCTTTATGTTAAAAACTTAGATGATAATCACAATTTATTCATACCTGAATCTAATCTTAGCAAAGGTAGGGTGTTCCAGTTGGTATACCGTCAGTCAAACCTTAGCTGGTTTCTCTAGAAATAGTTTCGTATCTTAAGACTCACAAACCCACCACGTGGATGTGATTTTGTTGGGGAATCGTTTCCATCAGGCTTTGCGTGCGGGCATACAGGTAACACACACGTTTTCACACATGAATCCCTAAGTATACACACAGGTATACTTACCCTATGAGGAATCATATTTTACATGCACACCAGCTGCAGACACGTTTCACTAAGACATCCTGTAGCATACATATAGGAATATTCATCCACATGGTAAGGTGGATGGTCAGCGCTTCCTTTGAAGCTATTCGCAACAGGTGACAGTCAACTCACACATTACTAGTATATTGCTGATGTAAAGGCCTTCGCCTCTGCATCTCATGAAATACATAGAAGCATAAGCAGTTTATCAGGGAAGGTTGATGGCCACCTATTGCTAGTATTTGCTACCATAATTTTATTACGTGTTCGACATGACAGGATTAGACCGCTAATTGTATTAGATATAAGGCAGACATTTATAAGCTTACGTTTCTTGAACTAACCCACGTGGATACTTTCTGAATTTACCCTAACAAATAGACTACGCAAGCTCAGACCTTTGCAATTCATATACATAAGCATACACGTTGAGAAGCCCGCAAGATTTTAAAAGAGCCCTGATAAGAGGAACAGAGGTCCTGTTTACAGGAGAGTCGTATAATAGTCTGATTTCCACTGACCGCCGAAGTTAGCTAGCAAGGTTATATCTACTGCTCAGCAGAGCCACTGGCACGCTCCTGGTCTAATTTCATTACCAAGGCCAAGGTATGCTTCTTTACACCACTGATAACATTCTACCGTTTCACTCATAGTTAAACTGTAAAGCGAAAGAAATTTAGTAAAATACACTTACAAATAGAATAATACACGAAATCAATTTTGTAAGATGATTATATCCCTCAGTAACTTTAAAATATGATCAAATACTTAATTTTTAGCATACATTTATTGGCTGAATAGTTTTAGAACAATGATTCAGTAAACATTCGTCTTATTTCTAGTAAAAACGTTTTTGATTGAGATCATGGACCGATTGATGTTAGACCACCACTGAAAACCTGGAAGCACTGAACGGCCGTTTCCTTCGATTGTGGGACTCCTCAGGAGTGCACATCAACGGATATGCACGCAGGACTCGTATACAGGGCCTTCGGTTTCGCGCGCGAACGCTTAACATCTGTACCACTGAGCCGGCATCCAACGATGTTAATGTCTAACCTCAATCAATCCACGAGATTGCGCGACCATCGACCATTGTACTGAGGTAGATACCTGTCTCTACGCGACACGGATTAGCCCCCTTGGTCTCAGCTTCTCACTAGAACTCCAAGAATTCCCTCACGAATCTGATGATTAGTGAGCACATGGTAATTATCAATATAAGTTGTGGAGATTATCCTTTTTTTATTGAAATCATGAACCGATTAATTTATTTCACAAACCAATTTCGACAGTATTTAAAACACCTTTTTATACATCCATTTATATATGTTTCAAGTTTAAGTAGTGGTGTGGTGAACGAGAACATAAATGGGTACAATCGAATGTATCCGAATACAAAATTACGAAGTTTCATAGTAAAATGTGAGAAGCATTCAACAAATACCTTATATGCAAAATGTCAATCAACTGTCTCAAACTTGTCTGTTTCCTTTTGCAAATGTCAATCAGTAGTCTCAGACTTTATCGTTTCTTCGTTTTCACAGCAATCATTTATTGTTCTCGTTTTCTTTCGTTCATCTTCTTAACCTTCTACTGCCAGGTATTTCACTTTTGATTGATGATACATACTACTTATATCAATCGACAGCAGTAGCATACACTATAGTA